AAAGTGTTTCTTTTTAAAAGGAAATGAACATATTCAACTCAATCATCCGTGATGTATTCTATGGACTACCCAGGCCCCCCGCACCACCTTATCACGTGACTAAAGAGTTAGAAGACTTTGAAGGAGCATTGTTACAGTATACGAAGGACAAGGGGCTTGTAGCTCAYCATCAGTGGATAGTCAAGATTAACCAATTGAGAAACCTGTCCAAGACACATCATGGTAGGAGACCATTGTTGTCCTTTGATATGCATTTATTGTTTATTCGTGTGTGGATATCCTGTGCTATCCATTAATACATGTCTTATTCTTTCATATCAATAARAATGGTATCTTTAAAATGATTTACATTTCAAACCAATCGGAACCCATTTGATTGCTGGGGGGTGGGGGTGGGGGGGAATCTGTCTGCTCCTAGTAAAAGTAGTGATTTTGTTTTTGTAGGAATAATCGTAGCAGGTCCACCAGGAACAGGCAAGTCTACGTGTATATCAGCTTTAATCGATACTCTTACAGAATGCTCTAACACAAAGCACAAGAACACAGGGTCCCCAGTACACACCCACAAGCAACAGAAGATCTACCCTCTAGGGGTATCAGACCCTGCTATCACGTTTGGCCGTATCAACAGCAGTGGCGAATTTGAAGATGGRATCTTTACTGCCTATTGGAGGAAAGCCAATAAAGAGCACAGTGTCCTTCAGATGACCACGTGGATATGTCTAGATGCCCCATTGCATCATGGGTGGGCAGAGACACTTAACAGTGTGTTGGATAAAGGAGAGGTAAAGAGTAGGTTAACATTCAATATAAAGATAACTAAAGAGGCAATAACTAATACTCTTACATTGGTCTTTTATTAGTATCTAAACCTATTGAATGGAGAACGACTGCACTTATCAGAGCATTTAAAGATAATCTTTGAGACGGATGATCTTAGCAATGCATCTCCTGCTACAGTATCACGATCTGTAAGTAGCATAAGTAACGCTGCTTAATCGACTATGTTGTAGTCTAAACCGTGGTGTTCTGTCATTGTTTCAGGCAATAGTGTTCATGGACGAGAGTGTACTTGGGTGGCGACCATTGGCCGAAGCTTGGTTGGCCAACAGATCCCCTCAAGAGATCCATGTAAGTCATGCAGTGCTCTTATTAATGACTGATAAATACTGTTAAGTTAATAATAGGAATGAGGTAATAATATGCGGCTTTGTTTCTAGTGTCTTCAGCGTGCGTTCAACAAGACCGTGGATGCAATCTCACAGTTTGTACAGTTTGAAGCAAGGTAATGCAAAACCCGTGCTATGATGAAGATTAATGTATCTTATCTAGGTGATATTGTTTCCTTAATAGATCCCGTGTAAAGATCTGTGAGGTTGGTCTGTTCAGCACGTGCCTTGCCATGCTAAAAGCTCTTATTGAGGTCAGTAGATCCGTCAGTCACATTTTCAGTGGTCAGTTTTTGATTGACGGAAGCCAAGAATCAAGAAGTCTGGGACTGTGTTGGTTACGTAATGATGCGAATAATGTGTTTATACTTCAGGGTAACACAGATATCGGTGGTGAGCTTCATATTGAACGYCTTTATCTGTTCTCGCTTATCTGGTCGTTTGGTAGTCTACTCGATGAACATGATCGTAAAAGATTCAGCGAGATTCTCTTGTCTCTCACAACTGCGTAAGTCTTCTTCTAACCAATGATGGACGTTATAAACATACAACACTTGCTTACCTGTTGTATATGATGTCTTACAGGTTACCAGATTACGACCAAGAAATATCTGTCTTTGATTACTATGTAGATGAATCAGGCGAATGGGATTCCTGGCATTCTAAGTATGTGTTCATATTTAACAGTGCGTAGAACAGTGTGTGTTACGAGGTGTCTTGTAATGTTGTACATCTATAGTAGTGTAGAACAGTGTGTGTTACGAGGTGTCTTCTAATGTCGTTCATTTTCAGATTACCAGACTTAAGTTATTTAGACGCAGCTGACCTTTTAGGGGAARTATTTGTCGAGACAGTCGATACGGTAAGCGGAGTGTTGAAATAATTTTATAGTTATGTATGTTCATGGATACTGATTGGCTAATATTGATATTATCAGGTGCGCACAAGAATGTTTATGGAGCTAGTAAGTGCGTCAGGTAAWAACATCTTGGTCACCGGCCCTACTGGATGTGGCAAGACATCCCTAATCAACGATTTTCTTGACAAACAAGGTATACCTTCTGTATTATACATCGTGCAGTAGGTAGTGGGTAGGTAAGGTAGTGGGTAGGTAGGATATTGGGTAGGTAGGGTAGAGGATAGGTAGGGTAATGGGTAGGTAGGGCAGTGGTTAGGTAGGGCAGTGGATAGGTAGGGTAGTAGGTAGGCAGGGTAGTGGGAAGGCAGAGTAGTGGGTAGGTAGGGTAGTTGGGTAGGGAGGGTAGTTGATTAGGTAGGGTAGTTGGGTAGGCAGGATAGTGGGTAGGTAGGGTAGTGGGTAGGTAGAGTAGTGGGTAGGTAGGGTAGTTGGGTAGGGAGGGTAGTTGATTAGGTAGGGTAGTTGGGTAGGCAGGATAGTGGGTAGGTAGGGTAGTGGTTAGGTAGGGTAGTTGCCTAACACTGTGCTCTATGTTACAGAGGACAAGAACCAGATCGTAAAACGCTACGTGTTCTCTGGAACGTCTAAAGCAGTCAATCTTCAACGATTTGTTGAAAATAACATCCATCACAGACAAGGTAGGTTTTCACTGATCATTCAGGGTTGATTATATACAGTTAAGAATGATGTTGATGATCCTTGGCTGCGGTTTGTAACAGGTTTTGTTTATGGCGCAAAGAAAGGCAAGGGACTGAACGTGTTTATTGATGACCTTGGTATCCCRCAACAAGACCAATATGGCGTACAGGACGTTAACGAGGTAAAACAACTGACCAGCTCAAACACTCTTTGTCAAAACATTTGTTTAACGATGTTCTTTACTCTTGACAGCTTCTTCGTCAAGTCCTCGACCAAGGTATATTGTTCAACACGATRAAGCCTTTTGATCGTCGAGTGTTAGAGAGCGTGGTCGTTACTGCAGCGATGGGTGTGTCCAGCGATACAAGTGAACAAAACCAAATACCCGAGAGACTCAAGGTATCTGTGAAGTGCTTTCTTATTCACACTATGGACCCTTTTATTTGAAACTTAATGGTTCCATTTCAAAATAACGTGTTTGCCATGCAAAAATATGGATGTGCTCGCTCAAAAAAGAATCTTACACATTTGAAATGGGGAAAAAATAGTTGCAAAAATGAAAAAAAAAACAGTAATCGTTTTATTTCTCTTCCTTCCAGCGTCATTTTGCAACATTTTATCTACCGGCTTTGAGCRCTGAAACTCTCTTTACCATCGTCAACTCAGTACTCGAGGTAAGATCACTGACACCACATGTCTGTCTATCCAATAMTAGGCTGGCAACTAATGATTGTTTCCTTGTAACCAGGCAAACATGGCACAGAACCAAGGAATGGGGCTACCACAGGATTTCCATGAACTGATTGTTAAAGCATCGTGTACATTCCTGGAGAGAATCCAGGATGTCTTACGTCCATCGTGCACCCCTGGACGCTTTCATTATCAGTTTAATTTACGAGATATTACTCGAGTCTTCCAGGTATTGTTACTGTCTTGTTCAAACTGTGCTCACACGGTCACGCATCTAATCATGCGATATCATTGGTTATTGTTATCAGGGTCTCAAGAACTGTTCTGAGGAAATGAGAGCGGACGAAGATTACATAGTGTCTCTATGGCAACACGAGATGTTCCGAGTCATAAAGGACAGAATATCTCGTGTAGCTGATAACAAGTGGTTCGACAAAAATATGATGACAGTTATCAAAGAGTACTTCTCTTCGTTACCTGTCARCACCCCACCACCACTGTTCATCACTTTCGCGTTAGACCCAGCCTCTTATACCTCAAGATCTGTCACTCAGGCTAGGATATCTACACCAAAGGTACATTTATATATGACGCTGGTTTTTGTGACTACAGACAGTAACAAGTTGTTATTGTTTCAGAACACCTTACAAGCGATAGACAGCATTGATGATGTGTCTCAATGTCTTCAAAACTACCTACGAAGATACAACGATGAGTTCAACGAAGGACTGGATATCATGGTGTCCCATCACGTGATGTTCCATGTGATCAGGGTGCATAGAATACTAAGTTATAAAAACAGGTCAGTCAGGTTATATAATGTGCTATCATCTTGTCCTACCACATGACATACCACGTAATCAGGGTGCATAGAATACTAAGTTATGAAAACAGGTCAGTGAGGTTATGTACTGTGCTAATCATCTTGTCCTATCACATGACTAACCACGTGATCAGGGTACATAGAATACTAACAACAGGTCAGTCAGGTTATGTACTGTGCTATGTTATACACTTGTATTGACGAACATACTGTTGTTTTTTTCTATTCAGAGGTAACGTATTACTGGTTGGAGCGATAGGAGCACATCTTGCCTCGTTAGCACGCCTGGCCCTGTACATGTTAGACTACCATATACACCCCGTAGATTGTTCGTACTCTAATACGTTCCTTGACGGACTGAGATCTGCTGTCAGACAAGCAGGGTGTGATGGCAAGACGACAACTGTTTTATTTACGGTAACATCCATTTCCTAATATACTATAATTATTATATATCTATTAAAATAATGGCTTATCTCTTGACATCGATACCATCTTGACGATGATATCTTGTGTTATAATCGTAATATCGTTATTTCAGGCACCTGATCTTAAAGATGACACATATCTTGATGCACTCAATAGTCTTCTGATCAGTGGTGAATACCCGCCGTTATTCTCTGAAGATGAGCTTGAAAGTTTGTTACAAGTACGTCTAGTCTTCTCTCATTATTCTTATAACTAAGTGTCTATTTACTGTAGAACCATCTTTGATCATTTGTTTATGATTTTAGGCTCTAATGCCAGCCATCAAGCGCAAGTTTTCCAGTTTTCTAGCAGATCCAATGAAGTTCTTCATTACTCGCGTTAAGGCTAACTTACACGTGGTCTTGTGCTTGCCTCCTACACACAAGCTGCTGCGTGTGGGATCCAGTTCGTTTCCTGGTATACTGTACGGATGTCAATTGAACTGGATCAAAGACTGGCCTAGTTATGCTTTAGAAGGAGAAGCTTCTCATTACCTTGCTAAGTATAGTGTACTGGAAGGAATTGACGAGCAGTCAAGGTCAGAGTGCTTCGCAGAATTCCATTCCTTGCTCTGTTTACTGTTTGCTGTTTCAAGGGCAAATCCAGGGGATTGATTGGGTGGCTACCCTTCCGATATCTTCTGGACTCTTAGAAAGGGTTTCTTGATATTGTGATCTCAATTGTTGTCTTGTTTATTTTTTGGTCTTCCAGACAAAAGGTCGTGTCCAGTCTCTCCACTATCCATGGTCACGTGTTAAGAGAGTGCCATCAGATTCCTTGGGCAGGACTTGACCAGATTACCAGGCCAGCATCAGGTGCAACTGATATCGATACAAATCTACCCCTCTCTAAAAATATCCTCCTTGAACGAATCAACCTTAAGCACCAGTCCTCAGATGGAACATCGCTGGGTAAGATAGTTGTTGGTCCAACGACGTACATACAATACTTACATTGTTTTAGACATATATTCAAAGAAAAAAGGAGAGAAGCCAAGATACAAGTCCAGAAACTTGGGTGAGTCAAAACACTGTTCTTCCTTTGTGGTATGGTTTCATTGTCGACTTGAGTCAGCCAGTCAGATTGAGACATCAATAAGAAACCCAATCGTTTTAATCTTCCTAATGTTTTCAGTAATCAGGATATTATTTGTTTTGTTGAGCAGGCGTGCTTTATCTACACTAGACCAGACTCGCAAGGATGCTATCGTTATAAAAGAAGTTATCTCAGAAACAAAACAAAAACTTGAAGTAGCTAAAGAAAAATCAGCCGATTTACTAAAAGCACTCACTCACAAGGCAACATCACTCGAGAAACTGAAGTCCAAGCTAGGTATTGGAAGCAGTACACTAAGTGCCTTTACAGCCCTGATTGATAACGAGATGGATGATGATGATGATGATCTATTGTACGATGATGAAGAAGATGAACTGGACCAGGAGTTTGAGAAAATCAAAAATGCTAAAATGAAAAGTAGAAGGATTAAAGTAATTGAGCAGATAACTAGTGCTGAAGGTGCGCTGGAGGAAGCAAGAGTACAACTGAAGAAAGCAGAACAAAATGTAAGCCAGTCTATTGTTCTTTCCGAGGTGGCGCGGAAAACAGGTAGCGAGGCGCACTGAATCATGGGGCTCTTTTAGGGGACGCCATTTTTTCAATAAGATGAAAAGCTTACAAAAGTATCTTWAAAAAAACAGACCGAAAACCCCCAAAAAATTTGACCCGATTCAAAAATAAAACTTGTTAAGCGAAAAGACAAATAGCATCCACAAAAACAGCCCCATGATTCAGTGCGCGTTCTACTCATTACCAGTTTTCCGCGCAACCTCGGAAAGGCCAAGAGACACAAAAAAGGCTATCAATCACTCCCTTCCTCCTACCCATTTAGTCAGTTCTTGCGCCAGAGGTTGCAATAAAAGGGTTGCTGTGATTGTTTTTAGGCGAATCGATGGCAAAACAAAGTTGATCGTTCTCTGTGTGAGCGTCTTCGTGCATTTCAAAGCCCTCCTCCCATGACAGGCATGGTAATGGTCATGACCATGGTATTAATTGGACGTCCTGAATTCGCTTCTGGTATCGGTGGGGCTGGCAGCTTCCATTCTACATCCAGTAGGGAACGGAAAGGAGGAGAATCTCTCACAGGAGGTTCTGATGAGATGTCAAGGGCAAGCTCGGCAACCATGAGAAGAAGAGGGTTGAAGGAACAACCAAAAGGATCTTCCTCGCAGGGGAATCTGCATGGTAGGTTGTTATATATACTCGACTAATAAATATATATCAAGCTGGTATCTACAGATAGGATGCTATCCAGGGTAATGATCCCAATATTATCCTTGTAGTACAGTATTACAATCATATTTCTTTGCGTAACTGTATCTGTATTAAGGTGTGTCAAGTGAAGGCAAAGTTGATCGTGCCTCATGGAAAGCAATCCAGCAAATCATGAATGATTCTCAGAAGTTTGTGGAGTCATTACACAACATGAATCGTAAAGAAGGTCTTCCCGATGATATCCTTTCTGGTGTCCAGTCCTTCCTGGTTACATCAAGTGGTGGGGAACTGGGTGTTAGTGATGGGGACCTGGGTTCTGCTGCAGCTGGTGCTAGTGCCAGTAATTATGCCGTATCGCCATCAACAGGAAGACCATCCATAACTCCAGGAGGTAAGTCCTTCCTAGTGATGGGAAAGACTAAAATGGATTGCAAGTGACTGGACCTCAGTCAGTGACTGGATCTTGATTCACACACAAAAAAAATGTTTTTGAATTTTCAGCTTTTGAATGGCCATGGATAATCTTAATGTATAGTAAAAACAATACCAACTTCTAAAACTTGTTTTCCTCTTTTAATCCTTGAATTTTGAGGGTTTTTTTATTTTGGAAAATCCGGAACCGTACGTAAATGGAATGGACTGGACTTCGGTTGGCTGGATCGTACGGATCGTAGGCGTTTTTTCTCGCTAAATTTGCAGCTTTTATCCTATGATTTTAATTTTATTATTCATAACTAGTAATTCTAGTCCGAAATTTCGCACAAACAAAATTTTTTTTTGTTGATTGCGGCACTGGTTGAAGACCTGTGAAGCCGGTCAGTGGCTAAGGTTCCTTATAGGACTGTATACATCATGTGTCTATAGTTGACTCTGTGAATCGTTACAGATTACGACTATAAGATGTTATTGAGATAAATTGGATGTTACTTGGATGTGACTGGAATTGGATTGGTTTTGACTGAAATGGTGTGGAAGTGACTGGGCCTCAGTCAGTGACTTGATCTTGATTCACGCAAAAAAAAGTTTTTATATTTTAACCTTTTGAATGTATTTTTTTAGTTGTTTGTTGGTCATTTCCTCTTGAAAGTGTCGGCAAGTTTGAATCTTTTTTTTTTTAGAGCGCAAAGCACAAGGCATCACTCTTGCAGCAGCCAAGTATTCATCAGAAGACGCAGCAGTTCTTGTAGAGTACATTATCTCTTTGGTGGATTATACTCGTTTATATAAACCATACAAAAAGGCTTTGGAATATCTGGAGGAACTGATAAAGGAGAAGGAAGAGGATGAAAAGCGAACAGAATTGGAACAACTGAAACAACTTGCGCCTTCAAAAGATGTAAGTAGCTGTAGTGTACCAATGTCACAATCTGTTGATGGTGATGGTGGTGATGGTGATGGTGGTGGTGATGGTGGTGATGGTGGTGGTGGTGGTG